AATAATGCGGGGCTAAGAAAGCGACCATGAGCAAAAGTATGGCTGGTTAGATTTTGGTGAGCCAAAAAACAAGTGTTGACATAGAGCTCAGAGCTACGTGCCGTCTTAATCTTTGCCTTGAAAAATCTGTCACTGGTGAGTTCAGATTGAGTGAACCAGCTTACGTTGAAGACCTACTAGTTTTCGAGAATCATCGCAAGGCACGCAGCGAAGAAAAACGCAGTGCACCATTTTGTTCTCTGCGCTGCTTACTCCGTCACACACCCGTGCATCCGCTAAGGCGACGAGCAAGGAGCCTACACTAAGAGATGACCAGCCGGCCTCCAGATCAACTCTTGAAATACCACGCTTAGTCAGGAATCCGAACTTCAAGAAGCTAGCATCACGAAGCATCTGATTCTGTCTCTGAAGTTCTGCTATTTTAGCTGGGGACCTATCTCACCATCACATACCTAAGGGCTTCGAATTCCTTCTCTAGCTCCGGCCTCCGACTCGCCTAAACCTGGTTTCACCAATCAGTTCTTCACCCGCAAAGTAAGCATTCTGGGTCAGTGCCTGTCTTTCTTGCAAATACTAGATTTTTTTTTTTTACCCACAACATACATCATTCTTCCTACAATTAATGACCCCTGAACGAACTTAACACATCATCATACCATTCTCTGCATCCTGATATATCAATTTGATCCGCCCTCCTCGCTCCATTTTGTTTCATTTCATTCAATACATCGAATCGAACTCCTTCCACAAACAGGGAATCAATAAATTCTCGAACAAATAGACCCAACAAGTGATCGGCTTGCTCAAACACAATTCATTTGGAACGAGATTACAATTAAATAATAATGGAAGCTTACGAGAAGTACGATCATGGTGGGCTCCTCAAAAATAGGTACTCGAAGGTGAGCGATATCTCTGAGGGGTCATATGGATTGGTTTCTTTGGCTAAAGATCAAGATAACGAGAATGCTCTTGTTGCCGTTAAGTATATCTTTCCGGTCAACTATAAAAGACAAAAGCAATATTCCCAGCTTTCGAACACAACAGGTCGGGCCACATCTTCGCCAGCAAAACTCAGATCAAATACGGGCACTTCGGACTCGAAGAAGAAAGTCATGATTTCTGCTTTGTGTGAAGAATCGTCGAAGGAGTTTGCGATACACCAGATATTGGGAGATCATCCAAACATTCCGAAGTTGATTGACCATTTCGACTCATGTTTAATCCTTGAATACTGTTCCAAGGGAGATCTTTATGAAGCAATGCAGAACGATGTTGGTCCTACAACCTCCCAGGATATCAAGGATGTTTTCGATCAAATTCTCAGTGCCATAGCTTATTGTCACTCTAAATCAGTGTTCCACAGAGATTTGAAGCCAGAAAATATCTTAATTGCGCAGGACTGGTCCATTAAAGTCTGTGATTGGGGTTTAGCCACCACGCAGCAGATAGTTACTAGTCCAAGTGAATTCGATATTGGATCTGAAAGATATATGGCTCCAGAATTGTTTGATCCTGAACTTCAGTCATATGATGCATCAAAGGTTGACTTGTGGTCTTTAGGTGTGATTTTGTTGACTCTTGTGTTTCAAAAGAATCCTTTTCAGGTTGCAAATTATACTGATAAGCGGTTCTTGCAATTTTCTGCCAATAGAGAAGCATTGTTCGATTTTTTCAGTTCAATGACTGGTGAAATGTTTAGTTCCTTGCGCTTTTGTCTCACAATGGACCCTTCGAATCGTGACTTGGAAAGTTTTCGTGCTGAGCTTAAGAGCTTAAAATACTTCACCATTGACGAGGAGTATTGGGCATTACACAGTGAAGAAGAAAATGAAGCTGAATATGAGGACAACGGTTACGAAGATGAAGTAGAAGAACCTAATCTGTTGGAAGACTTGACTCAATCCAGGGACACGTTTCCTTTCGAACCCGAAATATCTCAAAGTGCATCTACGGATGTAAGAGATCCGCCCAGCTTTCAAGATGATCAAGTCAAGATCCTACTTCCTGATCATGGCTTAGAGGAACATATAACTTTGTCAATAGATGAGGCAATGGATAGCGAGTTGACTCTGGCAATTGATACCGAGACATCTGCAAGGGAAGACGAGGAATAATGCGGGGCTAAGAAAGCGACCATGAGCAAAAGTATGGCTGGTTAGATTTTGGTGAGCCAAAAAACAAGTGTTGACATAGAGCTCAGAGCTACGTGCCGTCTTAATCTTTGCCTTGAAAAATCTGTCACTGGTGAGTTCAGATTGAGTGAACCAGCTTACGTTGAAGACCTACTAGTTTTCGAGAATCATCGCAAGGCACGCAGCGAAGAAAAACGCAGTGCACCATTTTGTTCTCTGCGCTGCTTACTCCGTCACACACCCGTGCATCCGCTAAGGCGACGAGCAAGGAGCCTACACTAAGAGATGACCAGCCGGCCTCCAGATCAACTCTTGAAATACCACGCTTAGTCAGGAATCCGAACTTC